ATTTTATATCTAGCTTGTCAGAGTCGTCCATCGACAGATATTCGTATAGTTCCTTTTCAGTGGTGTAGAGAACGCTAGTATATATAATTGTCGGACAAAATAAATATTGGTAAACTATATTTACTTAGCGAGGGGGTATGAAGGAATCGCTTTGTCAGTGTGTCCGCCAATAGTAAAAAGCGTGTGTATAAGATATCTCCTGAACATCTGAACAGTAAACACATTTAGTTTATATAACACCGTAGTACGTTAACATTAAGTTCTGCTTCTGATTAAAACGTCGAAGGTCATAGGCAAATTGTCCATCTATAGTAAAAAGCTATTGTACATGATATTTCAATAACCTCGGAACACATTTGACTCGTATTTACACAGGGGAGGGGAGATATCTGTATCAGCCTCCGCTCACTNGTATTTGTATTGTAGATAGTTTATGACATCAGTGAAACGTATTGTCAATTCTACACTTCGTTATGCGCATTTTCTTTTGTAAAACATGATGTACATGTGACTTTTATACTTGTATACTGGTGAAATGTACAGCTCAAATTATACAAAAATATAATTGATACACGACATTTTTACTTTGAAACATCGAACCAGCACTATATATGAGTGTATGAACAATGTTTTGCAGCATGCTAATGTGACAATCATTCGAAATGTGTATGTGGCGCGTGCGTGGACATTAATATGTTGTATGTCATAGCCGTAGTGTATTAGACCATAGGATGTAGGATTGACTTTGAAGTTTTGTTATTTGTGAAGTATTGATCAATATGTATATCTGTGTACGCCTATATGCAATGTGCATTTGGTAATAAATTGAATTGTGTTGAAATAACTTATAATAAGGACAGCTGGCAAGATATATCCTTAGTACTAGTTCAGCCATTTTGTTCTTTCACAGCTTGTTAAAGAACGTAAATTGCATCATAGCATTACATACGTCATGTGTATAAAACCATATCACGATAGAATTATTTCAAAATTATACCTCGTCACGGTGACTAAAGTGGAACCTCTCCTGGTAGCATCGTCCATCTTCAGTGATCAGCTTAAGCCTTTCAACTTGCAGTAAACCCATTTTTACTGTGAAATAGTGTTAATGACATTGCAATAAAGGGTGAATTTAGGTCCTTCTAGATGAACTGGAAGCGCCCTATTGACATCCTCGCCTTTTTCAGTTCGATCGAGGCTTTATAGTTCCCCACCGGTTACCGTGGTATATCTTCTATACTATTTCACATGGAGTAACCAGATTTGGTGTACAAGGACATCTTGGGACGGCGGACTGCAAGCATTAGGTCACTGCGACATATGACTTGACCTTTACTTTTGAAAATGTTTGTCCGGGGCATCTCTTCTATATATACTATATCACCTGGAGTAACCAGATCAGGTGTACAAGGACATCTTGGGATGGCGAGTGCAAGAAGTAGGTCGACTATGACGTCACTGTGACCTAATGCTTTGAACAGTAGTTACATCCTGACATCGTCTACCTGGATCATGGAACGCTGCCTGTTTTATTTAACTAGATCACGCGATCTCCATCCCAATTCTGGATTTACTGAATCGACTGGATTATGGAATCAACTTTACCACTTGAGCAAAGAATACCACTGGAACACGATTTTTTTTCAATGCAAGGTAGCCTACTGTAACTTACCTTAATACACAATTAGTACACTAATTAGTAATTGTATCAATACCCAGCCTCCTCTGCCACGACGCAATAAATAGAAATTGTCTCGTCGTCAGACGATACGTTATCGCAGCTATACACTAGTCATTTTTTGGGCGGTGGGCGTTACCTCCCCTTTCTGATTTCCGTTTTTGTTATGGTCAAAGTATTGCTAATTAACTTCTAGATCGATATGCATAAAATTCTTCAAAATGACCATATATCATCCGGATCTGTAGAACGCCAAATTAATATATTCATAAAATTCACCCATCTTTAAACAAGAGGCCCAGAGGGCCTGCATCGCTCACCTGGATATCTAAGCAATCATGGCAAAACATTCTCCAAATGAGATCCAAGGATACATATCTGTATTGGATTTTTCATGCCCAGCAATTTAATGTAGGGTTATGGGGTGGGGATCTCAACTGTTTCCAAGCTGTGACTCAGAAACTAGTTCCCTAGGGTTGTGGCCAGACCCCAGGATCAATTATAATATCATGACTAAATTCGTCTCTTTATGCCCAGCATTTGTATGTATAGTTTTGGGGTGGGGATCTCAACCTTTTCAAAGTTATGACCCCGGGGTAAAATCTGCAAGGGTGGGGCAGACCATGGGGTCAATTCTTATATCATGACTGCATTCGTCTCTTTATGCCCAACAATTGTATATATAGTTTTGGGGTGGGGATCTTAACCGTTTCGAAGTTATGACCCAGGAGTTAAGTCTCAAAGGGTGGGGCCAGACCCCGGAGTCATCATGGAAGCGTATGTGCATTCATCTCTTTATACTCAGCAATTGTATATATGGTTATAGGGTGGGGATCTCAACTGTTTCCAAGCTGTGACTCAGAAACTAGGTCCCTAGAGTCTATCCTAATATCATGACTGCATTCGTCTCTTTATGCTCAGCATTTGGGGTGGGGATATCAACCGTTTCAAAGTTATCACCCAGGGACTTTAACTCCTAGGGTGGGGCTAGACCACATGGCCATCCTGGAAGCATATGTGCATTTCTCTCTATTCTCAGCAATTGTATATATGGTTATACGGTTGCGATCTCAACCATTTCCAAGTAATAGACTTTTTGTTAGGCCCACCCCTTAGCCCGGGGGGTCAGCCTCACATTTTGTACAATTTTGAATCCCTGCTTCCCATTAACGCTTCCGACAAAATATCGTAGTCGTTTATAGCAATATAACCAAAGCGCCACTTTTGGTCCCGTCCCTCAGCCCCCTGGGGGGTCAGCCCTACCATTTGTACAATTTTGAATCCCCACCACCTAGGGATGCTTCTGGTCAAATATGGTTGATATACATCTCTTATTTACAGAGAAGTCGCTTAAAGCCAGATAGCCAAATAACCCTTTTTGGCCCCGCCCCTCAGCCCAACCATTTGTACAATTTTGAATCCCCGCCTCCCATGAATGCTTCCGACCAAATGTGATTGATATCTTGTGCAAAGTTCTACAGAAGAAGTCGTTTATAGCAATATAGCCAAATNTTGTGCAAAGTTCTACAGAAGTCGTTTATAGCAATATAGCCAAATTGCCCACTTTTGGCCCCGCCATTTATACAAGTTTGAATCCCCACCACCTAAGGGTGCTTCCAGTCAAATTTAGTTAAATTCCAATCAGTGGTTAAGAAGAAGAAGTCGTTTGCAGAAATTGTTGACGGACGGACGACAGACGCCACGGTATGGCATATGCTCACCTTGGTCCTTCGGACCGGGTGAGCTAATAATTGAAGATATCTATAACTGAATTCTACCCATCTTCAATTATATGAAGATAACTGCAATTTCTTGGTATTTTTCTTTCTACTGGTACTTACCGTCTATGACTGATGGTTAAAAATTAGGTAAGGCTTAATCGCGGAACCTTATCGTGCGCTACGCTTTCCAAAATAATGTTTAAAATTAAGCATCCGAGACACTTTCTCCAACACGAGCCTCTGGTGAACACACTTTAGCGTGATATTTCAGTCAAAATTGACTGAAAAACAGAATGTTGCGAATGTCCGAAGTTGATGAGAATCGCAACTGCCCTAGTTTTGAAAGCATCAATCAACAACACCCCATCGGGGACATACGGGAAGGTTGGTGGACCATCCCAGTGAGGACATCTGCTGGCCCCGGTTGTTCAAGGGTTGGTTATTGTTTAAAAACAGTAGTTAGTGAAAATGTTAAAATTTGAATACAGCGAAATCGAGAACCTCTGACATCATTTCACTGCCATAGATTTATATAAAGATGACTACACATCAGATTGCTGTATTTATTTTACCTTGAAAGCGTTTGTTTCCTACTGGCAACAATTTACCACTGGTTAAAGTAAACCAACCTTTGAGCAACCAAGGCCAGGGGTATATATCTGTCCTATCGCCGAAACAGTTTTTAAACGGCGACTGAAACGGCAACCAGCGTGATTGGTAACCATGGACGCCAACTGTGTTAGAGAACAGTCGGACATCGGGTGCGGAGGTTGTTCATGGGCCGGACTCCAACGAATCAACGGCGATGTCAACGCCATTTGCAATGATGCCGTCCACATTCCCTAAACTTCTAGAGAAGTAGAATAACATATGTAAGGGGTTAAAGGTAGTAATTGTCGAACGTGGCGAACTCGCGTCATATTGAACTGGCACGGGACATAAGGAAGGGTCGCTCTTGCGACGACGTTTACGACAACGCCGCTTGTGTTGCCACTACAAAAATCTTTATGAATTAGCACAAAGGGATAACATCAATAGTTTAATATAGCTTAAATGATATTACTTATAGAATATTTGAAAATCGTACCCTTTAAAAGTTCCGTTTATTTTTTCCCCGTCAGTATATGTTAATTTGGCGTTCCATACGGATCGACTTGACAATGAAACTTTCAGATGAAGTGAAAACGTGACCGTGAAAACTTCAAATCAACATGACAATTGAATTTCCGGATCAGTAGACCACCTCCTTTAAAGAAGGTGAAAGACATTTCCTTTTTCCGAATACAGCTGTATAAAGAACATGGGCCCTATCTGTTGTTTTTTGGCCATTCGGAACTTTGGCACCCCTTTCCCTGGCCATGCTAGAGCATATAACCAAACTTTCTACAGGTCAAGAAGAATTTGGGGGCTCCCTTGCATTTCAGGGGAATTTTTAGCTAGAACCCTATTTCTGCTTCATATAGAACCATATATATGGGCTACCCTCCCTCCGTTAGATCGGGTACAGGAACATCACATTTATCTCAATATATTTCATAGAAGTAATATACAACCAGTGCATTGCATAATAATGCTGGCATGTCAAGAGTAAGAAATAACAATTAAAAAATTCTTTGCTTTAATAATAAATTCACTGAGTTTACAAAATCATGATAGGGTTAGCATGCACACTTAACATCAATATATATCTACAACTATATCTATATTATAAAACATCATTTCATCTTACAAATCGCTGCAACAATCCCTAAACAGAAATATAAATATCTATGTAGTCCAACATTGTCTGTTAACATGCCCGGAAAAGAAAGGTAGACAACTCTCACAAGGTGCGTGGTTTGAACTTTGCCTGTGTTGGTGGTGTATGATCACTTAAAGCTTACACATTTTCATACGATTTTGTCGATTTTTTGTCTTATTACATTTTCACAACTTCATAATAGGATTATAATTCCCATACTTTAACATTTCCACCATCAGAAAAATTACATTTCCCCTGTTAAGTTAATAATATTATGCAGAAAAGAATTAATGCAGAAATCTAGCATAAATTCCAACATTCGATATTTTGCATATCGTGTTTCTATCATATTGATGTTGTCAGTCAACTGATCTTGACAATCACAAACAAAAAGAACCCCTTCCATAAGTAAACTCAGCAATAAGGGGACATAATAAGAGTTAGACAACTCATGTGACAGGGGAGATAACTCCCAATCTCCAAACAAAGCACAAATACAAATCTCTCCATTTAACAGAGAACATATCTGTTCCTATAATCATTTGTAACAGAAATTAATTGCGGCTACACTCTATAAATTACTCTCGCATAAAATCAAAAACAAAACTGATATAAACACACCAGATCGGTGATAGGGAATGGATATGGAGGCCCTTAGGCTTGGAAAATGGGTGGATATATATATATATATTTATACAAATACTGATATTCACTTGTGTCTACCCCTTGTAAACTATTGAGAAGCAGCTTATTTGTAACATGTTAAGACACCTATAAGCAGAGGTCTTAAATTGGTTGTGGGAAGCAGTGTAGGCCTATGAAGGGGTAGGGTTTCAGTTCCAAACTGTACTCAAGTATCCACATTGTCAGTGTTTTCTGGGTTTGCATACACTTCAAGATATAAATATTGCAGACTGCATCCAATGACTAAATTTAACATTTGAGAGCAAGCCATTTATTTTAGCATACAAAACCTTGAGGTATGTTTTGATAAAAAATTTAACTTTGAATAACAAATTTGCTTCTTTGCTGCTTTTTCAGAACATTGCGACAAAACTATTTTTGGAAGATACATACATGTTTGTGCAAGGTAACTAAAACGGAGCAACACTCTTAAATAAAATTAAAAAAACAGACACGTTACTCTGTTCAACAAAGACTAACAGTCCTACCAAGAAAACTCAAAATTAAAAATTCATTATTTGAACTGAAATATATTTAATAAATTTTCTCTGTACATAACATCCCTTGGTAAAACCTTTGCTACCAAGAACAATATTAACACCGAATGACAAGAGTTGTAAGTACAAGTATGTCACTTTATTATAAATGATCAACACTACCTCCCTTGTTTTCTATTTGAATTATGTACAAAACCATAGTTATAAAAACCTAACAAACACGTAAACGATATCTAAATAACCAACAAATGAAAAGAGACAACACGTCATCAAAGTAACAACGTTATGTATATGAACACATTATATATGATATAAAAGCACATTGAAATATTATCAATGTACTGTAACGTGTGTGCTGTTCATGTCTGTTTTCATTCATGTACACATTTACATCCCCCCAAACAAGCAATCAATTCCTAACACTGTGAAGAATTCATAATTGTTGAAGCTTAAACAGTCGACAAAAATTCCACGAAATTATATGAACCGATATATTTCAATAGATCAAACAGCTATTTCACTAAAGATCTAGTCGTGATCAAACTTAATGGGATTTACCACAACAAGTCCAACACATAATATCAGTAAAATAGTTTGTACTTGAAACATGAAAACCCTGACCCTTCTGCAGTGTGATTTTGAATAGATATTTAAACATGTTCATTTAATATTCCAACAAAGAAATTACATTCATTATTCTTTATATATCACTTCTCCATTTCTGTGAAGAACTCCCTACCTTAACACTGGTCATGACTCTTTCCACATTTATCCAGGATAACTTTTTCATAACCGATTTTCCTTGTAGTGTATGTACAGTGCGAGACTCAATAATTCATATATATTATCTGAATATACCGTTTTCCTATTGTATACACAGTGATCAGTCATATTTGAACCTCCCCTTTTAATTTTTTCCCATTTCTCCATTTAACTAGATGAAACGTCATCTTCCAATTACTGGATTTATACTATATTTAGGAATACGCATGTCACTTCATATTCACATGAAACAGTCTGCATCTACTCAACTTTTCAAATTTAGGAAATACAAATAATTGTTATGTGTATTGCAAATTGAGAAGGAACATGCAAGCGAAGCCTTTCCTCGATGTTTTGTGAGCTCAAACTTTCGTAACAACGATCTTATCTGATGACGATCAATGTCATGATGCTTTTATACAATGCTTCAAAGATGAGAGATGAGCAACATATTTCATGGGTATATTTTTACATATAGGATGGCCCAAATGGAGTTCTCTACCATAACTCAATTAGTAGTTTTACATGAATATATCAATAAAAATATGAAAAGACCGTCCTGTAAGTTTACAATTTCTAGTAGATGTAACAGTGAATGTGAAAGGTGGCGGCCATCAGATGGGACTCAACATGATATGTAGGAAATTGTCTAATTGTATGTCTAGTCTATCAAAACGATACAACCTCGGAACATAGAAAAAGTTGCACTTCTAAGTCCTGCACTACACATGTTCGTGTGCTGAACACTCAAAAACTTTCTATTATTGTACATAGCTCTCTCTACAATTATATATTTTCCATTCTATAGCAGAAAGGAGAAAACCTAAGGTCTACCACTCGTTAAGACAAAACGAGATGAAACTGTCACGTGGATTTTAAGCTCTTAACCCTCCATGTTGTTCATTTCCTTGGGCTCATTCAAATCTACAAGATAAATTAGAGATAGCAAACATTTAGAATTCTAGGGAAGTTAAAACAACTTATTTATTTTGTTAATATATTTAGATATAAAAGCATACTTTTAAGACAATGAAATAAAAAAAATGGTTGATGTTATGTACCCATCATTAAAGCTGAATGCATTAAATGTTTCCTTTGAATTTACTATCAATCAATTAATTATAAATTACTGGCATTAAATGTGTATTTTTTCCCTGATTTTACCTTAAAAATGGAGTAATTCAATGAACAGTTTTGAATGAAAATGATTTGGAGTTGCTCCAATCACATATAAAAACAGTAAGCTGAAGAGATATTTCATATTAAATAGACTGAACATTATCAAATATCAACAGGGCATTTCAAAATAAATAAGTGTCAGGGAAGATAATTTATCATAAACAAAATTATTTCCCCTTTTGATATTTTCAACGAATTTCAGCTTTAGCTTTTTAGCATTTGATGGGAGCACCTCTTTGTATAAATAACAATGAGTTCTATTTTAATTCTGCAATTTTACAATAATTAAAATGTGATTTTAAATATACAAGTACAATGTATACTTATTCAATTCCTGTAAAGAATTCAAATTAATGATATCACTTGTCAGAATTATACTTTTCATAGAAAATAAATATATTGTAACATGCAGAATTAAAATAAGAAAGAATGTATACAATGTATATAGATGGGGAGTAGGATGACTGATCAGATGGTTGATAGACTACAAGCGAACAGATAGAGTTGGTCGTATAAACTTCAAGTGTGAAGAGATGTGAAGAAAGCACTAACATTTAATATAAACATTGAGTTTCTGATGCTCACGTTTCATGAAATTTACCCCCCCCCCAAAAAAACCCCCCAACCTTTTTCACTGCGTATAATATCATATTTCAAACATTTTTTCATTATGATGAAATTTAACATCTGCATCAGGAAATCCATTGCTTCTGTTTGAGTATGTTGATGAAGGAGGAAGTGGTAATAAAAGGGATGGTACATTGAGACCTGCAGTCGAGAAGACTATATATTGTATCTACATCCCACAGAGCTTATCACAGAGATGGAGAAAAAACAGAAAATATTCATGCCAAAAAAATATCATCTACAGAATGTGGTCCAATAAAAATCCATTTTATATGTGCTTATCTGGTTAGCTAATGCTGTTTAACGAGATTTAATAATAGGCTAAGATAACTATTACACCTTACATAGCTCAACATGTTTAAACTCTTATGGTTTTATAGTGATATAATGAAACGAGGAACTAGTTCCTTTTTTCTTTCTGCACACAATAATAAATTGTTGAATGTTTTAAATTTACATCCTTAAAACAAGTAAAGCATTAATGAATGAATTATTTCACACAATACTGACTGTACTTGTGTCTGGATACACACATGTAGTTTATTTTCTTGGTTATCTTACCAGGTATCGATGTGATAATAACTGATCATAACATTATGAGAATGTTTCCTCAATGATTACGAATAACTGACTGAAAGTGTAATGGTGGCTTGTTATGTATCAAGAGTATTTTATTATGACTTATGTATAATTTGAGCTCATGGTCGACTACAATTAAAAAACAGATGATTCTTTGATTTTTCCTTCTTATTTCCCCCCATTTTTTTCTTTCTCATTTCCAATCACCACAGCTCTTTTCCACTAAGTGCATTTCTAGCCCTGAGGTTTTCACTTTACTAAACAAAATGCTAGTCAGAAAAGATTGCAAAAATATAAAACATCAAAACTCCAAATCTTGTTTTAAAATTAAATGCATTCACAGTGTTGTAAACATAAAATCACAAAAATATGCAAGATTGAAAATTGAGAAAATATACAAAAGAGAAATGACTACACACAAAGATAGATATGGTAATAATTGAAGCAAGGGCAGCAAGAAAAACATGTATTTTGAAAACTGATGGTTGCATACACCACTACACAAACATGTAACACTCGCTCAAATCTGGTTTTTACACTTTGTTTTCAACCATACTAGTGAAAAGGAATTATTCATAAGAAACCGAAGAAGTAGGAAAATATAGATTTCAAACTTTTTTAGTGAAACTTATATGGTAGCCTGTATCTGCTGATGGTTCATACGTCCATCTAGTTAACCAATTCAGTGTCATTTAACTATTTGATCTAAAAAGTTTTCTTTAAAGGAAAATGTACTGTACCTGGACAAGCTATTCATTTGAAATAAAATACACCCTGTGAAAATTGCAATCCCGCTCTCTAACAATATAATATCAGTGTTACTGTTTTTGCACCGACTGTTAATTTGATCAGGATGAATTTCATCCTAAAGCTAGTTAAAATACCACAACATGCTTCCTATTTTTGCCCCAATATGCTGCTTGTTGGGTAAAGAAGGTCAAGGAGAAACAGACACAGATTGGTTCAAGGTTGGGGGGTCAAACTGATCTACTTGCAAGGGAGGTAACTCTGCACAAAGAGATGAGGAAGGAATATCTGTTCATTGAATAATATCAATCTTGTATTGATTCTTTATTCTCAGTCTATGGTTTACTTCAATAAGCAGCTTGCTATATGGTTACATCTTCCATTTGGAGTATAGTTAACAATACATTTTTTTATTTAAGTTTACCTGGTTTCTAGGTTAAATCTGATACAGAAGTCTCGGATATACAAACTTATTCTCAACTCCAAATAATGTTTGACAAACCACTACACCATCACATTCTTCAGATAAATTGTGCCAATGAGCATTTTTTTCATTGTCATAAGATTGCCTGTATAATTTCCAAGTTTACTACAACAATAGACATAAAATTAATGCAAAATATTGTTTGAAATTCTAATGGAACAAATGTGCCTAAATGAAAAGATGAGCAACATAAAGTATTTAAATATTATATTAAAATCACTCGTTCCATACAATCTAGCTATTGAGTTTCTACAACTTTAATGCTGTACATACACAGGGCATGTAGATAATGGCAGGATCAGTAGACAGCAACCATTAGTTTTCAATCTATACAATCATAGGTCTACTGTGAATGCAAGATCTAGTGAAGATAGAACACTTTTACTGTCCCGATGGATCCAGACAAGGTGTGACTGGTGATTTGCATAGTATGACATCAACATTGAATCAAGGTACTAGTTGATCAGAAAACTTGTTCTTCATAAGTTTGTTAACTTTGAGGGTCTAATTTATTATTTTTTCTATGAAGTACCAGGTCAACTATGAAGTTTAACATTGTTGTTAACTCTTTCACCCCTAGGTAACTTTAGTAGACTCTACCATACATTGATCTGGATGAGTCCATTATCGTCTACAGGGGTGAAAGGGTTAAGACGAAGCACTCATACACGGTACCTTTTACATTTACATGCCACCAAACTCTTGTTGCCATCCCTGCATGATGTTAAAAAGTGGATTTCTCTGAAAATGGATTTCAATAATGCCTACATGTATATAGTGTAGGACAAATTCTGATGTTTTTCTTTTAAAATACATCAATTAGTTTGTATTTACCATTCCACTGAACACTATCAATATTGATGAATATAAGATTAACACTACCACAGAACAAGTCTGGACCATTGAATGTTAAAGACCAATTTTACTTCTGTCATTGAAGGTGACAGCAACGACATTTCTGTGCACTTGGGTTCCTTACGGAGGGTTGCTTGTTGCTAAGTGCTCAGTGCGGTGTCAAATCTTCATTTGTTAAAACGTGAACTAAGAGGTTCCATGGTGAAATAGAAATGACAACAAACACGAGTCGATCCAGAAAAAGCCTGCATTCACAGTAGAGCAAAAAAAAAGTGACTAAAACTTAAATGTCTAAAAATAGCTTAGCAGAATCAGTCATCAGCATAAGGAATACTTTCTTGTCGACCTAGCCAAGGGCGGGTCGACTTTTCCTCTACCTCAGGAGAGCTCGCAAGAACAGGCTTTTTGGACACGCCCCCTTTCTGGGCATTTTGCAACGACTGAAGACTTATAACAGAAGGTCGGCTACGTTTATCGTAGCTGTCGAAGTGCGTAGAATCTAAGTCCATTTGGAAAGCATTTACAACACGTATCTGAAAACAGAAAAAAATACACAACAATTAGGAAGACGACAACAAGTGGACACAAACACTTTAGGAAAGCCTTGGGACAATATTCATTATAAATGGCACGTTACTCTATTGAACATTTCTATAAAATCATCTTTATCTATATATGATAAATACCACTAGTTGATGATTGACATGTTATATTCTATCTAGATACAATGTTACAGACAAATGGGAAATAGATCAAAAAGACTAGCATACATTTCAAATATCATACATGCAAAAACTTTTTTCTGGAGGTATTAAAATTAAAAAAAGTCATAAATTTCATGCAAAAAACTAAATAATAAGCATTGCACAAAAAAAATAAAAATTTGGTTGCAATTTGGGGTAAAAATAAGCCCATGCATCAGCATCAATTAACATGCTAAATAATAGACTGTGCTGCGGTAAAAATCTGTTTTCCAAATATTTGGAATCTCACATAAGCTGTCCTCATTAAACTTTGTAAATACCCCTACATTGGAATTTGTTTGGGTACAAATGCTGATCTATAAGAAATAATGATAATTCCAATGCTTTGATTTGGGCGTAATTAGCAATTCTCTCCATTCCTAAATAAAACATGATCATATCAAAATATCATTTTAAATAAACAAATTTTCCTCCTGTTTTCTATCGATTCCTTGTTTCCTTCTAAGAAATGTGTTCTGGGATTTTTAATCGTGCAAAGGTAAAAAAAGAAGTTGCATTTTGTGAATAAAAGCAAACATTACGATGGAGGTGGTGTTTCAGATGAACAGGATTTTCCACGGAATGCCTCTTAATGAAACATATATGCACTGGTTGGGTAAAACAATCGGGGCAAATTTTACACACAAATATCATGTGCCTCAAAGTTTAGGAGACTTGCAGTGGAGACGATACCTAAAACACATGGACAGATGGGGTCAAAGTTCACAATGATTGCAAGATTCAAATCCATCACTAGGATAATCAATTAAGAAACAAATGGGACAGGACCAATTTCTTTGGAAACAATACATATAAAAGGGTAAAATACCAACTTGACATTTACATAACTCCAAGATTTCCATGCACCATGTTGAGTTGTCTACCTTTGTTTGAAATCTTCTATGCTGGAAAGATCATCTGATATTGACATCAGTGTATGAAAATATAATGAATGCAAGTTGGTCTCCATTACGTGGGTAAGTAGGTCGTGAATCGTCTTGGTTGGAAATGTGAAAGATAATACTGTTCACTCTAAAAAGAATATGAATGTTGGACAAGATCCTACAACATAATTTCAATTAAGCTACATGATTTTCCTTAGCAACTTAATCTGAGGCTTCATGGATGATGATGATTGGTACCATTTCACCATTGTTGGAGTTGCTACTCTCTGTTTCAAGGAACAGAGTCCATTCTGCATACAAAGATGACAGTATTGGACAAATCATAATGAATTCACATGCCTACCAATAATAATGGTGTGAATTTGTTGTCAGGGACAATCACGCATTCCCAAAATATCAACAATATTGTATATACAATAGATGTCATTGCATGCATAACAAAAATATTCATGTGATCTTAACATCATTTCACTGTATGTATCTTAAAATCTGGAAAAAATAAAACACATATATACATTTTAATAGAAATAAACTAATTTCAAATACATGTATCATCAATATTTTGGGCATTCATGAACTGTCATCACCCAATTCAGAAAACTTATGTTTTAATTTGCTGAAAATGATGATGATGTTTAAGACACCAAATGTACATTTTCATTGCAGTAGAAATCTGGAGACCAAAAAGCTATAAAAAACCAAAAAGATTACAAACCCGCAATGTTATAAATATTCCACTATTCCGTTGATTATCAAACATACATTCATCATATTGATTTTATTTTAAAATATAATTTGGTCCATGCTTTTAGGATTCCTTCAAGATTTCCAACTTGCAGTTACATAGTACATACTAACAGAAAATTCAACTCTGGCATATTTGTTGACATAAGATTTTATTTCAGATTAAAAGCCCATCAAGTGTGTCTGGATCTTCATTCCGTCATAAACAGTACAAGCTATATAATAATATCATCCAAGTTGTACTCCAGACAGGACCCATACAGAACTAACATATATGTACACACAGTTTAGGTAGGGAGGTGGTAGCTAGCTAGTACATCAAATTCTGCAAGACAAGTATATAACTCTTAAACTAGTTTCTTGCTCTTCTCTTTAGTTAAATATAACTTTCCTTTAATTCAAAAGAAACTTTTCACAATATAAATATTTTCTCTATGAATATCTTCAAGTCATAAAAATAATCTGTGCATTTACAGGGGAAAATTGAATATGCAAAATGAAAATTTATATCTACACTGTATTTCATCCTAATCATTCACAGGTGAATATTCTACCTGTATGAAATTACAGGTTGTTTTTTTTTGTTTTTTTTTAAGAATCTTACAGTTAAGGAAATTGTTTTCTTGGATCCTAGATTATTCAATAAATAATGGGTTAACTCAAGGTAATATAACTTATACTTTTAGTAGTTAGCAATATTAGTTTTAATAATTTGTCAAAACATGTTTCTATAGTTATTTTATACAAAGTAATATGTCTAATGTCACATGAAAGACTACAAATCTAAAAGAACTTAGTACAAACAATTTGATATCATTGGCCATGTATCGCTCACATTCCGTGCAATAAAACTAATAAAATCCAGAATTATAAAAAAAACCACACAAATTTTAATTCAATTTAGGTACTTTTTGGAACAATGATTAGTCTGACCAAAAACTATTCTTTCCCTCACCACACTTATTATTTGCATTCATAGATTAAGAAATCACTCTATCACAAGCTCAAGTTTAGGAAATACACCAAGCCCTGTTTGTTCCCAAAGTTAATCTGTCAAATTATATCATTTATCTCGTGTTATCCACTGTTGTAGCACCCACGCATAAAGCGTAGCGTAACCAATGAGAACATTGAGGCAAATTGGCAAATACTAGGGATAATCTTAACAACAAACATAGGTTTCTTTATTAATGTAACATGTTACCAAAAGTATCGTTGAAATGTTAACATTCAAACAGTGGTGAGTTGAACATACTAGTATATTTTTATAGCTGTTTAGGATTATTTCATTTCATTTTTTCGAATTTAAATAACATTCAAAATTCAAGATGTAGAAATAAATACAATATAGCGATCTTATGTCTCTCTACAGTTTCTGTCAAAAATTGATTAAAAAATAAAACACTGTAAATTTTTCTAAAATACTACTGTCAAAGAAAGAAATCTATGTTAATCTAGATATTATCAATCAATGTATTGTGTGTACTTGATGCCGACTCCATAAAAAAAAAACAGGATAACGGACAAAAAACCCAAACATTCTAATTTCTGACTACATGTAAACTTAAAAAACTTCTGTAGTTTTTTTTTTTTTTTATCTAATAACTAAAATATTCAAATGACCATAGAAATTCAAATATATATACATATGTAGGTTATCAACATTTCATTATGCTTTTTACAAATAAATATTTAACAAGTTTAACACTATTCACACTTACACACACACACACCTCCACTGCTTATACACACACACACTAACCTCCACTGCTTATACACACATACACATACTGCCACACACACTGCCAAACATGGGAGAAGGAGTTCCTTACTATATAAATATAGAGGTATGAAAAACTAGGTCAATCTGTCAAGGTCAACGGTTCCCATGGATACCATTGCCAGAAACAATTACAATGTCAACAGTGGTGATTACACAGTCATTATTGTCATAAAAAACCCTGTAAAAACTCATACATACACAATTTGTGCTCTAACATTAGATCTCTTACAAATAATTACAACAGGCAAGTCTCTTACTACACCAGGAAGCTACTGTTAACTATTTTATTGTACCTGATAAATCCCGTCCTCTTACACATTGTAGCTGAATGTATACCTCCTACACCTGGTAACTGAATGTATACCTCCTACACCTGGTAACTACAGGTAAATATCTTAACCTGGTAATTACAGGTAAGTCTCTTATATTTGGTTCACCAAATATAGGTCTCATAACCTGGTAACTATAGATATATCTCTCACACCTGGCAGTTACAGGTAAATATCTTAACCCGGTAATTACAGGTAAGTCTCTTATATCTGGTTCACCAAATATAGGTCTAATAACCTGGAAACTATAGATATATCTCTCACACCTGGCAGTTACAGGTAAATATCTTAACCCGGTAATTACAGGTAAGTCTCTTATATCTGGTTCACCAAATATAGGTCTAATAACCTGGAAACTATAGATATATCTCTCACACCTGGCAGTTACAGGTAAATATCTTAACCCGGTAATTACAGGTAAGTCTCTTATATCTGGTTCACCAAATATAGGTCTAATAACCTGGAAACTATAGATATATCTCTCACACCTGGCAATTACCAGACCTTAACCTGCATACTACCTCTAAGTCCATTAACCTGATATTACAGACAAATCTCTTATACCTAGTAGTTACAGGTAGGTCTTGTAACCCTGGTAGTACAGGTAAGTCTTGTCAATCTGGTAATAACAGACCCCTGACACAGGTAGCATACAGACTGGAGCACAGAAACCAACCATGCTTTATTACACAAGTCTACACTGTTGTAGAGGTAACACCTTGCTGTTCGGAACACAAAACAGCAATTCTTAACTGCTTTATTGCTATCTTTGATTGAGCACAATATTCTTACTGTGTCCCCTAATCTTTCAAACTGTATAACAACCTTGCTGACATGTCTACCTGGTATAAAGTTCATAGCAATAATTGTACATCATTGTTTTTATGTATGAGCCAGTCTTTATGATCGATATAAACATTTCCATAATCTGATTGCTTAATAGAAATAAATTACAGTAAACAGTTGAATTAATTAAAGGAAATGTAGGAAAAAAAATGTAAAAGGAAAGAGATAAATCATACAACTTTA